AAAATGTTAAAAAAGGGAAAAAAAAAAAAAAAAAGAAAAATGCTAAAAAAAAAATAAAAAAAAAATATTTGGTCTGAATGATCAAGTGGTGATAGGTCTTTGGCTCACTGAGCGCTACAAGAGTGCAAGGGATCAATTTCCAATGTGGAAACGCCATTTTCAGATGACCACATTTTACCCACCCAGTTTCACTGGGCAAGAAATCAGAGTTTTCCCCCATAGCTCACTCATTTAGCCAGATCTCCCCCCTCCCCCTCCCCGCCCCAATAATGTCCTTGGCTACATTTTATTTTCTCAACCTCTCTCAATTACCTGCAAAGCCACTGCTTGACTGAGCTGGAAAACAGCATCAGGAGTCGAACCTGGTGACCACCCCAACCCTCGAAGGAGGACATTCAAAGTCCATTTCATTCGAAATAGGAGCATCCTATGTCTTCCACTTACACGAGAAACAAACGCATACACTATTCTGGCACCTGATTTTCTGCTGTTAGTCTATTTTCTCAAGTGGCAACCATTGCTTTTCAGTGGATCTTATGACTTACAGTGCCGGAAAGAACTACAGCCAGTATGCTCCTTAGAGGCCACGAAGGCAAGACTTTGTCTCCCGTACTTTGGACATGTTGTCAGGAGAGACCGGTCCCTGGAGAAGGGTATCAAGCCTGGTAAAACAGAGGGCAGTGAAGAAGCGGAAGACCCTCCACAAGACGGATGGACACAGTGGCTGCCACCATGGACCCGCCCTGAGGAGGCTGGATCAGACGGGTGAAACTTCATTGGGTGGCACAGAGGGGTGCTGTGGGTCAGAACCAGCTCAATGGCAGCTAACAACAGCAACACCATGGCCAAGGCAGCCCACTCTCTTCATCTTTCGGCTGAATGTCTTTGACTGTGACTGTACACCCGGCGCATGATTGTAGTGATCCTGAGTGAATATGCAGTCATTTTTCTGGACCCGCCACCTCTACCCTTCCAAACTCACCAGAGGTGGCCTTTGCACTCTGTGAGAGTGGCCGACAGCGACCCTCTAGTTCTTTAATGCTTCCTCCCCCGACTGTCATGATCCCAATTCTACCTTACAAATTTGGCTAGACCAGAGCATGTACACGGGTACAGATAGGAACTGGAAACACAGGGAATCCAGGACAGATGATCCCTTCAGGACCAGTAGTGAGAGTGGCGATACCAGGAGGGTGGAGGGAAGGTGGGGTAGAAACGGGGAACCGATTACAAGGATCTACATATAACCTCTTCTCTGGGGGATGGACAACAGAAAAAGTGGATGAAGTCTCGTCAGACAGTGTAAGACATGACAAAATAATAATTTATACATTATCAAGGGTTTATAAGGGAGGTGGAGAGGGAAGGGAAAATGAGGAGCTGATACCAAGGGCTCAAGCAGAAAGAAAAGGTTTTGAAGATGATGATGGCAACAAATGTACAAATGTGCTTGCCACAAAGGATGCATGTATGGATTGTGATAAGAGTTAAACGAGCCCCCAATAAAATGATTCCCCCCAAAAGCATTTCTCCAGGGAACTCCAGAGCAGATTCTTCTACCTCGCATTCAGGCCAAGAGAAGACCCAGCATTTTCCTGCATTCGAGGAGGAGAGTGTGAGCCGTCCACTTACCTGGCTCGAGCCTCGAGGATGTGGGATGGGGGATCGCCAATGGAGTGGCTGGGGGAGGCGGGCTGCTTCGGCGAGGAGGGGGCTCCCCTGTGCGACTGCTTGGGAGACCTTGGCACTTCACTGAAAGAGGGGTCTCGCCCAGGGAACGGGGAGGAGGAGGAGGAACTCTCCGTAGCTGGAGGCAGGTCCTGGGCCCGCCCGGTGGCACTGCGCTCCTGAGCTCCTCTCTGGTTTTCCACATTGAGCACCAGCTCCTGGTGGGACACACGTTCACCCCCGGGGAAGGCATAGTCCTGGGGTTCCACTGCGCAGGTCCGGGGTCCCCCGGCCTCGGCCCTGGAGTACACCGAGCTGGCCTCTTTGTTCGGATCCTCCTGTTTGTCGGCTTTGCCGCCCCTTTTCTCCAGAACGTCAGGCTCCCTCCGGGACTTGGGGTATCGAGATACATACTCAGCGGAGTCAGCTTCCGAGTCCAGAGTCAGCCCGTATTTCTCTGCCAGCTGCCGTCTCCTTTCCGCTTTGTACCTGGCGATCCGCTCAGCTTTGGACTCCAGGCCCCGGCTGTCCATGGTGCCTGAGCTGTAGGGGGGCTCTCCGGGGGGATCTGGGCAGTATTTAGATCGAGTTTGCTTTTCTAGAGAAGCATCTGAAGTTTCGTCCTCGTCGTTGGACCGGCCTGCGAGAAGAACACATGAATAAGGGCAGGTTTCATGCAAGGAAGCACATTTTGCACACACTGCATCCCGCAAGCCGCACAGGGGGCAGTTCGAAACCACCAGCAGCCCTGTGGGAGAAAGACTGGTCTTTCTACTGCAGTAAACAGTTATAGTCTTGGAAACCCACCGGGTGGGGGGAGCAGTCGCTATGAGTCAGCATTGCTTTGGTTTGGTTTATATTGCACACAAGGAGCCCTGGTGGCACAGTGGTTACATGCTGGGCTGATAACCACAAGGTCTGCCGTTCGAAACCACCAGCAGCTCCTTAGGAGAAACATGAGGCTTTTTACTCCTGTCAAGAGTTGCCATGTCAGAAACCCAAAGGGGGAAGTTCTACCCTGTCCTATAGGGTCACCATGGGTCAGAATGGATTCCATGGTAGTGCGTGCATTTTTGTTTTTCTACTGCACACGCCACCCACTTTTGCTTCCCTGCTTTGAAGGACAAGAATGATTTATAGGAGGTGCGGGAGACCTTCATAAACTGCCCTGAACCGGCTGGAGGCTGAGAGCGTTCTCCAGCTCTGAGAGCTTCATCCAGAGCCGGGACGACAGCCCAGCCCGCTCCTCTCACAAGGGCTCGGCAAGTTCTTGCCCCTTGACCTTTATTTTTATTTATTTTTCCTTCTTTCTTTTTGGTTTGCTTTTGAGTTTAATGTTTCACATCTGAGGCAGGAGGGCAAGTTCAGAATCCTCTAGAAAAGATAACAGATGTTAAAATGGCCATCATCTGACAAGTGACTGATTGTGGTTGGATTGGGATCTGATGGTAACCATGACAACACGGCCGATGACGACATTCCCCAGACTTCTGACAGGAGTGGCTTTTCCCAATCACAGCACACACGTGTGAGGCGGAGAAAGTCTAACACAGAAACCCACAGCGGTACAGAGCCCCAAATAGCTCATAATCGCACTATACCTGCTACTTGGCCAAGTATTTTTACGGCCGTTCCAGACTCCTGTGGACTTTAATTTTTGTATATGAAACATTCCATGCTCTGTATAATATTAATGTTCTGCGTAAAATACCTTCTTGCGTTTAGAAATCTTTATTTTGAACACTTCATTTTTAAGGCTTCCTACCCCCTCATTAACTTAACCCTTCCCACACAACTGGGTATTTGAGTTGTTTCGGAGTCTTAATTAGTCTTATTTTCTGATTACTGTCATAACAGATGGCCTTGTCATAACCCTCGAAACAAACTCACTGCCATCGAGTTGATTCTTTGGTCCTGACTCATAGCAACCCTACAGAACAGGGCAGAGCTGCCCCTGTGGGTTTCCGAGGCTGGAATCCTTCCTGTAGGAGACAGCTCTTTGTCCCAGGGAGCAGCTGGTGACCTCAAACTGCTGGCCTTGTGGTTAGAGGCCCAACATGTAACTGCGAGACCATCAAGGCTCCTTAGGCTTGTAATATACTTGATTGTAATATAAAAATGAAGGAAATACATAACTTTATTTATACTTATTTATCTTTCCCTTCACCTATCAGCCATTTGCATTCTCTATTCTCCTCTCTGGAAAGCCTGATCAAGTTTATTGCCCCATCGCCCATTGGCTTACAGTGGTATTTTTAGTGATTTGGGCAAACTCTTTTTTTTTTTTAATCATTTTATTAGGGGGTCATACAACTCTTATCCTAATCCATACACACATCAATTGTGTAAAGCGCCATTTGTACATTCATTGCCCTCATCATTCTCAAAACATTTTTTCTCCACTTAAACCCCCG